GTCCTCCTCAGTGACCGGGCATACGCAGTGCGAGCCCAAGCCAACGCAGTTTATGCAGTGCTATCGGTTATTCTGAGGAACTAGCATGGGTGTTCCTCAACCCTAGCTAAGGCGCAGAATGATGATGAGTATACAAGATGAAGGCAATCTTATTGTCTCATGTCTCAAGTCGATACTTACATGATAAATACAAACGATTAAACCGTTCCTTCGGAAGATTAGTACTATAATGGGTTCACCCGTTGTGTGAGACAATATCCTCTTTTCATACTTATTTGAACAGGTGGTGTAATTCTGTGCAAAGGACCACACTACTGTTCTACTACGGTAACTTGAAATGAGGTCAAAATAGCAAGCTCGTGGCTCTGTGAAGGCCTGATACCACTCAAACTAATCTTGGGAATAAAAAAATGACATTTGCCGCCGTCGTGTTTCCCATCGCTTGGAAAAACACTAAGTATTCGGATAGTGACAGCCAAAGCCTTCGGTTTTTAACGGCAACTACATCTTGTCCACTGTAGAATGTGAACGTTCTCGACATCTCCTATTAACGATGACACTTGCTATACGCGTCTAAGTATATGATCCGCGTTCTGTAGTAGGAACAGAAGAAACGCCAGCCACTATCAGTTATAATGCGTCAAATTATCGATGCGTTGAGAACAATCTGTCGAAAACTCCAAACCTTTCAGGAAGAAACAGCAAAGCAAGCGACAGAAGAACACAAGAGCACAATAAACGGTCAAGTAATAAATGTTATAGAGTTTCGCGGACCAGGTCCTGTAAAGCTGAGCTAGCGGACATCCGACGTCCCCGAAACCTGAGCCAATTCCAATGAAGTAGATGGACATTTGCATAATTGGTCCAAAAATCGCGAGCTTAGCATCAGTGAACAGTCAGACAACTGTTACAGTTGGTTGTTTCTTCACACGTTTGACAACTAGCTGAAGGTGTAGTTCATTCCTCGTTGGACTTTCAATAGCAGTCTGGTATTTCTAGAAAATAAAACTTATTTGTAAGTAACGTGTGTGGCGAACGCAACCACAGTACTTTCAAAACAACAAGTTAGAGGTCACCGGATGTTCGTGTCATTAACTGACTGCAATCCACGGAAAATGTATGGGAGTCAAGTGCTTCACATTTGGGATAACGACTCCATCAGGGAAGGGGATCCTGATTGATGAGTAAGATGATATTGGACAGACCTATAGAAAATTAGTAGGTGATCTCCATGGATTTGGTGAAGTACAAGGATGGTGGACGAATAAGTCTGGGGATACTAGGTATACCTCCAGTTTTAATGATGGCTGTTGGTACTGAGTATCGCGTTCGCTGATGACGGTAGTTCATAAAACCCAAGGACATATCGATCTATCTGAGGACTGTGGTTAGCCAGAACTTAAGATGAAAATCGATTAGATGTTTGGAGAAATTTAGTTAGCGTCCTCCCTACCTCTTTCGATAACATACACCACAACCGATTGCATCCTTGCTCAGGCGGCTTAGGAAGTTAGTCTTCATTCCGACACTGCTCGAGTAATAGCAGGGGTTTAATAAAGAACGTATCATGGCTCCATTTGAGATGCGATACTACAATCCAAACAAACAAGCAGATCCAGTCACGGAGAAAATAGTCAGTGCTTCTGCTACACATGGGAAAGTGAGGATTGAACAAAATCTGACGCAACCCCTACTTTAGCGCACCCACTGCAGCTTCACTGTCGCTTATACTTAAACCGATTACGTTGGCAAGGTCAGATCCTCCGTATGCTCGTTGACCGGCTTCTTCGACGCGTAGTATACGCCGTGGCAGCACTAAGTTGGGTGAAACCGCGAGGTGACCAGTTGATGAGGTGGCATAGATATGCAGAGATTGAGTGAGACTTGATCAGGCTAGGGTGTGCCGCTTTCGTGGATGGACGCCTCAGGATGGTCCATGTAAGTAGTCGGAAACTATCAAAAATGGTGCAGTCGCGCAGTCAGTGACGTTCCTGCATCCGGTTTCACGCATCTAGCTGTCAATTTTCCATTCTGATTAGTTTTGTGCACGTTTGTCCTGATTTTGTTTTCTTTGTATTCTATATGCGTTCAACCTCATGTGCTTACAGTTGTTATTTAGTGTTATTCTGACTACCTAAGTCGTGGAAACTGGATCCACTGCACTACAGTGCCCGGATCATAGTTGTCCAATAGAACTGAACTGTAGTTGCACGAGATCATCATGCACCGTATTAATATGCATCCAAGTACAATGTTGTAGGAAAGCAGCATGCAGAAAGATCATCGTATTGCACCAGCTCGGGTCGGAGATGAGGCGAATGCCTTGTAGCTCAAAGATCACCGGCGTGCTGTTAATGCATTGCTCTTCATGGATCAGGTTATCGGAGTCACTTAAAACAAGGACACTGATAAAGGAAGCTTGTCACAAGTCCAGGTGTTTAGACAAGTGTAATGACAGCGAATTCGTGTGATAAGAGACGATCAACCGATTCTAGTGGATGCAACTTAGCACCGAGAATGTGAACCAGTAACTCGATTTCACAGTTTCTCTGGATACCACACATCTAAGCCAAGATTGGCAAGCGATTTCTGAAAGTAGCTCAATTGTTACAAAAAATTAGGACCACTCTACTCATTCTACATGTATAAGGTTAGAAAATGGATTTCCATTAGTCAGCAAAGCCACTCGTACAGAGCCACAGCGAGGGCCATTCTTCTCTGGCACAGTAAAATATGATTCCTCAAATCTAGGGACCTGAGGTGCCTTCAGACTGTTGATCATCTTCAGGGCATGGATGGTGTTGGCTGGTAACTGCGTGTACACCACAACGAGATGCGTAAGGCGGGCACCACGTGACAAAGATGGCAGTGATTTTTTAGGTCAACATACAAGTATGAGTAAGTTGTGTTGGTTAGGACAAGTAATGCGTACGCTACCCGCCGTTCTCTGAAGGGGATCCTGTTCTAACCACTGCTTAGGATGGAGCAACACAGTGATCATTGCGACTTGTCAGAAATAACGTCGGTCACGGATTGCGAAACTATGTGATTTGATCCATCGCTCCTCCGATGCACGAGTCCGAGCGACCCACTTCGTATATTGTCGCAAAACTGAGAAAAATCGTTCGCCGCCGACTCCGGCGACGCGTTTGCCTTTTCTGATCAAATTTACTGTCTGACAGAGTTGTTCGTGAGGTAATGTTGATTATAACGCATGACAATAGGAGCCGCAAGGAAGCTGTCTCGCCGATGCCGCCTTACCCGTAACAGATATCCGGATGTAAGTGACTGTGCGTTCTTATTATTGTACGACCGTTTTGAATTGTATGTTTGCCCAAGACATTAACTTTCAACCGGTTTCTCTATGGCGCGGTTGTAATATGCAGCAAACGATCAGCAAACAGGCATGTGACAACGCGCACGTGCCCGAAGTAACTACGATGGAGAAACACAGACGTATATCTACCAGGTCACTATTTCCGATATTAAGTAATCGGTGTCAATAATGGTAAAGAAGCACCAGCACAAAGCCGCGCTGTAAGAATGCTGTTATTACATCCCACAGTTGTAAAGTAAATAAAAATAGTCCAAATGCTCGCGACTGTTAGCTTCCGTAGTCACGCTCCAGGATCAATTATTTCCCTGATTGAACTGGGGTCAGGACTCAGGGTGTAGAGATTGAATGAAAACGTCGTTGCCCCTACACCACCGTGCCAAGGTTTATGGTTGTTACATCGGTTAAGGACTCTGCTGATTTTTGTTTGAATTATCCACTGTGCGAAAGGATTGCGACAAGCAATCTCAATCCGGACTGTGACTTATGTTAGTGAGAAAATTCGGCTCCTTATATAACCAAAAACGTACGTTAAGTGGATAAATGTGGCGCGATGTTTTTCACAAAAGACGAACACCACGACCAGTTTTATCCCTATCTGAACTCTTCAAGTGAGATCAATAGGAATGGAAAACAAAATAAAAGGGATTTGAAATAACCGAATATTATTTTAAAGAAAGACGAGTTGAATCAGGCTGGATTTCCTAATCCAACCCAGCAACAGACGACAAAAACCTGAAAAAAATTTGTGTGCCGAACATTCCGATCCATCATTTATGCCGATGCTTCCCTTAGCAACAGAGAAAGCCAAACGAGGAAAATGCGATGACCAAAATCGCAACGAGACTTATTGTTACCGTAGTGGAAGGGTTTGTGTGGCTCTCCAATCCAGAGAGATTCACTGCGTGTGTCCAATGAGCGATATGAGATCAAGTTTAACAGGATCAACAAATGGCTAGAAGTCGGATAGACCAATTCTTCTGGTCCTGCGACTTGGAATCCTAAACAGTCAGTGATTTATTTGAGAATGACCTACCCTGAGGATAGTGGGGAACTTCCTGCTGTCCTGTGGTCTTTTTGCTAAAGCAAAAAATTTGGTTGATGACTATAATCATTCCCCTATGCACTCTAGTAGCATTCGGACAACTTACAACCATGAGTAACATACCGCAGTTCAATTTATCTTGTATTGGTTGTCATATAACTTGAGGCTTACACAACAGACAAGGGACAACAAACTACTGCCGAAGCCCCTACTCTTTCCACACGTTCCTCTCATAAGCCAGCTGAGCCCCATTACTCAATTATCTGCTACAACCCCAGGCCTAAGTGACAGAAGCTGAATTCTTGCATCCATGTCGGCACAGTATTCACTGGCCTACCGTCAACAAAATATCACCATGTCACGCTGCAAGGTTACACTGGCAGCGTTCAATGTTCGCACCCTAAAACAGATGAGTCCACAGGTCGCATAGCATGCACACAGAGTACTCCAGGAGTTGACGTGTTGCAGAGCAGCAAATAAACTTCGCGAAATAAACAGCTGGTCAATTAAGGTACCAGAATGAGTCTAGGCGAATATCATCTAGGGCGCGCAAAACGATCTGTGGCTACTATATGCCGTAAACCCAGTTATTGTCAAAATCGAACTTTTCAAAGTACTCACCAATCCCATCCTTGAATACTGCAGTATGATTTATGGAAACACGCGGATGGGAGACAAAATAGCTCTGGAAAACCCGAAAAGATAATTCACTAAAAGTTTGCAAGGTAAATCCTCTACATTGAACTATCAGGAACGTTGCCAACAGTTTCTCATCGAGCGTCTTGCCCTCAGTTATGGTGTATTGATGATGATGATGATGGCTCACAATCAAATAAGTCAAGACATTCCTATCTCTCTACGTTAGAATAGCAACACAACTTCACTAAGATGTTTCGCAACAAGACTTGTAAACTAATTGCGCGAAGAACCAAGACAGCTATTCGATCTGAGATTTTCCCCGCCAGATACTCTGTCTCGTGGAATAGCCTACTATCCACTATCAGGCATAACGCAAATATGAGAACATTCCGCATTAAACTTGGAAATCTCTTGGATTAGAACTTGTTATGACCATGTTTTCATCGGGAAGTTTACCAAATGTGTTTTTCCAATATGGACCAAGGAATATATGGCCAGTAATAAAGGCCATGTCATGTATTTCAGAATGCATTGATAACACGGATGCAACAGAATACACATCTCGCTCATGCATGAACATGACCATTCCCGTACTAATGATCAGTCTCTATTACTTAACGAAGGGCAGATGAACAACCTCCATGGCCACCGGCTTCTAGGAAGGCGTGTGAGCCACCTGGCTGTCAACGGCGTTCGTGCCTGACGGCGAGTTTGGTGGTCAAGGGAATCCTAACCTCATTGCTGCTTCACTCGGGCTCTTTGGGAGTTCGAAGTAGTTTGTTTCTACTCGAAAGCCGTGTTATCCCCCTAAATAACCGGCTCCCAAAAGTTCGAGGTAAAAGCCGATCGACCCGCTGCCTTGCCGGTCAGGTTTTATGACCCAAGGCCCCACTTCATCAGCCTGGGCAAGCGGGAAGTACCATACCTACACAATCTATGGAACCATGTCTCAACAATACTTTCCTCTCTCTGTTGTTTCTCTGGAATTGCTCTCATCGGCCGAATATGCCAAACCGAGCTCTAGCACACCACTTTATTCCGCACTTGTTCAATCCACTCATTCTTAGTCTTCCCCCTCCGTTTCCGAGTGCATAACACCGTGCCGCTATGGGCAGGCGTTTTCGTCATACGGATCAGGAGCTTGGGTTCGAGGGTGCGCCAATTCTTGTTGGCAAGCCATTTCTAGCGCCCAGTTCCCAATTCAAGCTGGCTACCTTCAATGCTCCGACGCTGATGCAGATCGGATCACAGGCAGCCTTTGCTCGCACTCTAGAAACAAAGGCCGCTGATACCTGCTGCCTCAGTGAGACCCGTTTACATGATTCAAGCACGACGCTGTGATTGGTTTCACCGTCTGCGAATTCCATTGGCATATTCCATTGCGTTTATCCGGAGACTCAAGCACTGAAGCTGCTAGTCATGCTGGCGTGGGGATTGTTTTGAGCACAAGTGCTAAGGCCGCGCTACTAGACTGGATTCTTGTCAAAAGTCGACTGCGTGACCTAACTTGAAACATCAGTGCGACTGTTCAGGCGCGTAGTCAGCAGACGTTGATTGTACATCGTCGTGGCGTACGCTCCAACAGACTGCAGCCTGAAGTCAGTTAAAGATGAGTTCTGTAGTCAACTGACCGATATCATGGTGCTTGCCAAGGATTTGAACACGCAGGTCGGTAGACTTGAGGTTGACGAGCGTAAATTCGGTGGTCAACACGGCCATGGTATTGGCAGAACAGACAACGGTGATCGCCTACTACAGCTTTCCTCCAATCTCAGCCTGTTTGTGTTAAACACCAGCTTTCGGCGATCTTGGCGCCAACACATCACCTGACCAGCCGTGGACATACATTGATCACATTGCCATCAGTTACCGCTGTCAGGGCCGCATACAGGATTGCAGAACAATCTGGAGTACCTATATCAATTCGGATTACGCGCTGGTGTGTGCCAAAATAGGACTACGTTTTGGTGCCACCCAGCAGCGTCGCCGGAAACGGTTTGACGTGGCTACGCTTTACGCCTTGAACCTTCTCTACGTCTTTTATGATGGATTGGCCTCAAGCCTGAAGACTGTTTCATGCACAGGCATTTAAACGCACTGGACCCACATCCGCAGCGCTACGTACAACTCTGCAACCCTGGTTTGTGACTTCACCAGTACTCGTGCCAACCATTAGATTTTTGCGCGATCACCCCAACTTCTCCAAGCCCATCGAGCAATCCCTGTTGGCGTTGAATAGTACTCACTGCGCAGGACTACCAATGTTAAGCCTATCATCTCCGGGAGATCGCGAAGCCTGATGGATACGACGAGTCATTGAGATAGAGCAAGTGACCACTGTGGAGAACTTCCGTAAGCTTTCTCATCTGATCCGTTGGGCGGCAGACGGTCGACTGTAAGCACAGTTTGATGCAAAACAAATGGGGATCCAATCAACTGTCAAAAACGTCGAATTAGGCCTTGAGCCGGACATTCTGATCAGCAGTGCCGATGAGTTCCCATACAGGAATCCATAGTGCTCCCCGGTGTGTAAACGCTTCACCACCATAAATCCAGCAAATTCACCTCTTAAAGCACTACAAAGCTCGTGGCCCAGATGAACTCCCTCCGGCTCTTTTCAAAGATGGAGGCCCATCACTTGTTCCGGAGTTAACTTCCCTCCTCCAAGAGACTTAGGTCACTGAAGTTATCCCATTTGATTGGAGCCTAGCGGATATCGTGCCATTCTTCAAAAAAGGTACCCGAACTGACTACGCCAAACATAAATGGATTGATCTCATCAGTGTTGCTTCCAAGGTGCTCGCCGTCCTGTTTTTAAGAAGCTCAGATTAGTTGCGAACAGACCATACGTGAAGAGCAAGCTCCGTTTCGCCCAGGTCAGAAATGCATTGATCGACTGTACACTCTGTAGAATACTTGAGAGTAGTCAAAGATTTGGCCGGTTAACGATAGTTGTCTACTTAAACATAAGAGCCGCGTTTGACTCTGTTGACCGTGCTGCCCTCCGGAGTTGTCTACTGAGAAGGGGAGTGCCCGAAAAGTATACCACTATTCTTCCAGCCATCTAGTTTCAAATCTCGGGCCAAGTGCAAGTGTACTGCGAACTTTCGCCCCTCTTCAGTGTCACCAAGACTGCCCAGCAACCTGCTTCTTGTTCAACTTCGCTATAGACGCGATCCTGGACAGTGCCCTGGAGAACTGCGAACCCAACGGTGTTGAGCTGCTTCGGGGGGACGGACTTCGGATTTGGAGTATGCAGACGAGATCGCCATAATCTGCGATTCCCCACATGCCACGCGAAATGTTCTGTGTAGGTTGGTGTCTCCTGGTTTAGAATGACCGTCGCTCCATCGAAGTGCAAGGTCTTTCTGAAGGATTGGCTAGGTGATGCTCTTATTCTTACTTTTTCAGGTCATTCGTTGGAAGCGGTAGACAAGCTCGTTTACGTCGGAAGCAGCCTCAGCGAGAACGGTTTAACGGTTGTCTCTTTGCGCGTCTCCAGAGCTCGGGTTGCTTTGGCTATCGCTGGCGTCCAGGCGAACTGAGTCTAATTCTGAAGGGCCGAGTTTAAAATGCGAAGACGAGAGCGGTCCAGCTCTACAACTGCGAGACTTGGTCTGTTCACGCAAAGGATGTCGAAAGGATGTCAGTCACTGATCACCGAAGACTTCGGAGCATCGCATGTGTACGATGGCAACATCACATTAGTAATGAAGATGTTCGACGGAGGATTTTCAGACCAGACAGAAATGCTAGCTTCCAAAAAGCATAATTTCACTGCTAAGACATCAGTGGCTAGGACATGTGCTTCGCATCCATACTCAAAGTTTACCACGCCATGGTCTCCTTGCGGGGACAGAATTCGGCCGGAAAAAGAAGCTAGGTAGCCGTGGATGGGCGCCATCGAATCTTAGGCTGGTAGCGCAAGGATCACGAACATGCACGGATAGAAACCCTCTCGGAAATAGAAAGAAACCGTGCACAATGGGGGTGTGATGCTCTAATGCCAAAAACACTGAGTTACAAGATTTGTTTGGTTAAGAATTTTCCCATACGTTGTGGCACCAGGCTAACTGTACTATATATATATATATATATATATATATATATATATATATTCACAAGGCGAGAGAGTCTATGGTGCACTGAGGTTGGTGGTGGCTAGATCCTGACAGATGTTCTACCCACTGCTGGTACTGTTGTACCATGGACTTATCTCCTGGACGCCTCCTCGCTGCGACTGCTGGGTGGGAGTTGGCCTACGCCCTTCTCACTGCTAAGATCCAGGATACCAATCCGCATGAGTCAGTGAACTGACCATGTGTTAGACCCGCTGCCTTTCGGATGTACATTTAATCGAAGGCTTTGGCTGAGGACCTGAGTCGTTCTCCTGTCAGGTGTGGGCGCCCTTCCAGTATCCTAGTCCATCCTCTTCGGTTAGGAAGTGGTCGATGGCTCTCTTCCCGTAAAATCTAGCCATGGGAGACAACAGGTCTACGGGTTATAAGCTCACATCTCGATTGGCGTAGAGCACGAGCGCCACGCATTGCCTCTGACGGTGGGAGGGCACCTCCGGGTGCTAAATGGTTTGCTACTGCCCGCCTCAAGCCAGACAGCCCCTGGTCAAATTGGTGCATACCAGCCAAAACTCACCTGCGTCTGGCCGTGGTCGCAGGTGCGTATCCTACTGCGGTCGCAAAACATATAGGAATTGTTCGAGTACCTCAAAGACTGCGTGTGATGGCCGACAAGCAGATCCCAAACTGTCTCTGCAATCACATTCCCGAGATGGATCTGCTCCTCACTTCCTTGTGGGATAGGTCATTGAGTCAAAAGCTCCGGGCGGAGTCTATGAAGCAAACCACCAAATCCCCCATTGCCTTGTGGGTCAGGCTATTGAGGGAAAGGGTGCGGGCGGAGTCTCTCAAGCAAAACCGTCACCTCGCGTGCGATTACCCACCATTGCAATCGTATGCCTACGCGCAAAGCACTCAACATTGGGCGCTGGAACGTGCGCACACTACTGGACCGGAACTCCAATGAGCGC